AAACCACTAGCAGTGGACAATACAATGTACCATATGTGCGGTTTGGCCAGAGGTTGTATAGAAGATCATTCACAGTTTTCTAAGCTAATATTCTAAGGAGCAAGGATGTTGTATCTTTTGTTGAGGAGTATGATTTTGGAATACTAAAGGGTTAAGTCAATGTACTGTGTAAAGAAAAGAATGAAAAAATATACTTTTTGTATTGTCAAAAAACTACATGGAGTGCCTTTAACACACAAAAACTAATTATTCAAGTCTCGACATATGATTTTTTTTTTTTGCCTTTGATTCGGCATGCCGCGATGTCAACATGTTTTATACATACTCCTTTTAAAGGCTAGCTTTTAATTTTCTTTTTAACATCCGCTGTTTTGCTTTTTTCAATTCAAAAACTAGTTGTTACTACTTATTATTTTAACATTGAAAAACTAGTTGATAGATTTGATAGTTAAGAATCTAATTTCCTCACTTGAAAATGGTGTGAACTAGCTCCTAATGAGCATGAATTCTGGTTATTTTTCCTAAACTATCTTCATGCCAATAGTGACAATCCCAATGTACATGTGTATGTAGTATAGCATAGCTAGTCAATCAAAGACTTTATCATCACTTTATCCCCCCCAAAAAAACAACATATTTTTTGCATACGATTTTGTTGTGCAAACATACAATGACCGCAAACGACTGCTTTTTTAAAAGCACTTGTTGCAAATAAAAACATTTTTTGACACCTATGTTACCAGCATGCCGAATTTCATTTTCCTCCAGGCTCTAAGTACGAAAATATCTACGGTTTTTAGGTGTTTGGAGAAGAGGAAATCGAGTAAAAACAATATGTTTACCATTTCTTCGGTAAACATAAATATTACTTTGTTCATCCGATACTAAATTGTCGTGTTGTTGATCATATGTATTTGCAAAATATAAAACTTCTCGGAGAATTTTCGGACACTTGGACACCTATGGACACAAGTTCTGTTTTCGACACTTGGTAAACCTTAGAGGGAACCACGTGCGATGTTGTCAAGCAGTTGTGCTTTACAGCCGATTAACCTGTTAGGGCTCAATCTTTCTTGCTTGAAACCTTTTGGCGGCCCCCGGACACCCCCTTTTGTCTGAAAATGGTCGTTCAGGTTGACCTTTGGTGTTGTTCAGGCATTATCGGTTTAGTCCACTTTTTTCAGGCGCTGTGAGAAGAGGTATCCGGCTTCGATAAATTCTTTGTTTAAAAGTATGGTACCAAAAATATGCGCTTAAATGCTGTTTTCAACGGCTGCATAGCCTAGAGTTAGTGACAATGTGCACAATTCAAAGAACCTTTGGAGAAAATATAGATCTCTTTCTGGATTTATGGAGTTTATCCACATGTTTTTGAGCTCGATCGAACCCGGAAGTGTTACAGGGGCATGGTATCTGGTAAAGGCAGCATGTAGCGAGTCACAAGTATGCAAATGAGTATTATGCAAATATTTGCAGACGAGCGTACATTACTACAACCTTTTGTAAACCCCTGTATATTTGACGTACTATAAGCAGTTAGCATCTGTATGTAACATTTCGGATCCCAGTCACTATGTTTGGGATCGTAATATTTGTGGATACGCACCATGTGCTCGCGTTTTGCTTCCTCATGAATATATTACATAACACTGATTAGCCGTTATTTTCAACGTCTGATTTAACAGTTCCGGTTGTCATTCTGAGTTTTATTACGAGTTCCTTGCGGCAGATTAAATAGAATTTCATAAGTTCATGGGTACATGTTATGGGCTGCAGATAAAAATATTGACCTGTGTTAAAACAACCTGGAACGCTGAGTCTAACAAATGAAATTTAACACCATCAGCTATACATAACAAACAACATATAAAAATATGCAAGAAAAAGCCCGGAGGTATAAATCTTAGATTTCGATTGACACCCACCTGCTGATGTTGTTTGATCACCATGTCAAGCTCGTAGAAGGTCTTGTAGGTCCCGTGTCAGATTCTGTACCCTGGTCTCTTGTTCTTGTAGGTCCCGTCCAAGCTGTGCAGTCCTGGCTCTTTCCTCTGACAGTTGGTTGGACAAGCCATCTATCTGGGTCTTCTGTTCATGTAGCTCCTGTGTGAGGTTGGATTGCTGGCTAAGAAAGGTTTCCACCAGGGACAAAATTCGATCCACTTGATTTTTCATGCAGCCCGTTTCCTCCTTCGCCTCGGCGAGCTGGACAGGTGGTGAACAGCCCCCTGTACGGGACCCGGGCTGAACCACATAGGTGTAGGCACAGTAGCCCTTGTCTACATACTCCCGCAGACAGGACCCGGGACAGTAGGTCCTGACGTCCTGGGCTCCGACAGGGAAGCTGCAGCACAGAAGGAAGGCAGCGAGCAGTAACACACTCGCCATCTTGGAGGAAGTAAACTAAAACACCTGCGTCACACCTTGTTCATCTGAATGGCTCAGCGTGACACCTGTCTCTGAACGACCTGACGGACGTTTGGCTCCTCTCCAGCTCAGGTGTGACTAAAGATGACCCGAGCGTCAGAAGCACAACCATGGATCCAACAGGTGTAAGGCAGGGGAAAACCATTGTGGTTATCGAGTGAGGCGCTAGGGCAGGGGGTAAACCATATTGGTTATCAAGTGGGGGGAAGGCTAAGGCAGTGGGTTAACCATTATGGTTATAAAATGGGGTCCTAGGGCAAGGGATTAACCCTAAACAGTACACCTGGGGTCCGCGCGGACTATATATTCTGTAATATCTTTTTTGTTTCTAAAGATTTTTTTCTGAAATTTTAGGTAATTGTCACCCACAAAGTTGTCTCTCAATACAGTGCAGAAAACTCCGTTTCTGCCATTTATAAAAAAATTATATCTGATTTTCTTTTGGGGTCCGCGCGGACCCCAGCCGGCTTTCGATCATAATGGATACACTGGTGTTCTTATACATTACCTTACTTCCGTTTTTATATGTTTTTATGCACTCATCGTATGTCTACCAAGTTTTCAGAGAATGGTGTAGTAATAGAATTAAATTTTAATAACTTTGGTGTAATCATTACGTCATATGACGTCAGAGCTAATAATATAGTCCGCCATATTGGATTTTGACCAATGACGTCATCAAATTAGCATATTCTATGCATATTAAATGATTTAACTTATATTTGATTATGTAAGATGTTATTAATGTTGGAAAAGAAGTGTAATTTAATATAAAACTCAGAAATTTTTTATGTTTAAACCAAAATTACTTCTATTTTCAAAAAAACTGCCTGCTAGAAGCCCGTTGCCATGGCAACACAAAAAACATCAACTTACTAGTATTAAACTAATATGAACTTTTTGCCAGAGACATTTTAGGAAAGGTATCCAAATTTGATACTTCTAGCGCAAGCCGTTTAGCCGCTATCTGAGATCAAAGTTGGGCCTCAAAAGCCCCTTAAGTCTGAAATGGGTTTAAAAATCGGGTATTTCTTCTTGTCTTCTTTTCTTCACCAAAAAATAAAAAAGTTCAAAATGTATGAATTTTGTATGTAATGTGGACACAGAGGTTCCCACTNACCAGGGACAAAATTCGATCCACTTGATTTTTCATGCAGCCCGTTTCCTCCTTCGCCTCGGCGAGCTGGACAGGTGGTGAACAGCCCCCTGTACGGGACCCGGGCTGAACCACATAGGTGTAGGCACAGTAGCCCTTGTCTACATACTCCCGCAGACAGGACCCGGGACAGTAGGTCCTGACGTCCTGGGCTCCGACAGGGAAGCTGCAGCACAGAAGGAAGGCAGCGAGCAGTAACACACTCGCCATCTTGGAGGAAGTAAACTAAAACGCCTGCGTCACACCTTGTTCATCTGAATGGCTCAGCGTGACACCTGTCTCTGAACGACCTGACGGACGTTTGGCTCCTCTCCAGCTCAGGTGTGACTAAAGATGACCCGAGCGTCAGAAGCACAACCATGGATCCAACAGGTGTAAGGCAGGGGAAAACCATTGTGGTTATCGAGTGAGGCGCTAGGGCAGGGGGTAAACCATATTGGTTATCAAGTGGGGGGAAGGCTAAGGCAGTGGGTTAACCATTATGGTTATAAAATGGGGTCCTAGGGCAAGGGATTAACCCTAAACAGTACACCTGGGGTCCGCGCGGACTATATATTCTGTAATATCTTTTTGTTTCTAAAGATTTTTTTCTGAAATTTTAGGTAATTGTCACCCACAAAGTTGTCTCTCAATACAGTGCAGAAAACTCCGTTTCTGCCATTTATAAAAAAAATTATATCTGATTTTCTTTTGGGGTCCGCGCGGACCCCCAGCCGGCTTTCGATCATAATGGATACACTGGTGTTCTTATACATTACCTTACTTCCGTTTTTATATGTTTTTATGCACTCATCGTATGTCTACCAAGTTTTCAGAGAATGGTGTAGTAATAGAATTAAATTTTAATAACTTTGGTGTAATCATTACGTCATATGACGTCAGAGCTAATAATATAGTCCGCCATATTGGATTTTGACCAATGACGTCATCAAATTAGCATATTCTATGCATATTAAATGATTTAACTTATATTTGATTATGTAAGATGTTATTAATGTTGGAAAAGAAGTGTAATTTAATATAAAACTCAGAAATTTTTTATGTTTAAACCAAAATTACTTCTATTTTCAAAAAAACTGCCTGCTAGAAGCCCGTTGCCATGGCAACACAAAAAACATCAACTTACTAGTATTAAACTAATATGAACTTTTTGCCAGAGACATTTTAGGAAAGGTATCCAAATTTGATACTTCTAGCGCAAGCCGTTTAGCCGCTATCTGAGATCAAAGTTGGGCCTCAAAAGCCCCTTAAGTCTGAAATGGGTTTAAAAATCGGGTATTTCTTCTTGTCTTCTTTTCTTCACCAAAAAATAAAAAAAGTTCAAAATGTATGATTTTTGTATGTAATGTGGACACAGAGGTTCCCACATCAGTTTGCAAAACAATTTAGCTGGTAGCATGTTGATAATTTCTAAAAATTAGCAAAAAACTGTTCTGGGGTCCGCGCGGACCCCAGGTGTACAGATTAATCAGTCCGGGAAGGTGTTCTGTTGAGGGTTAACCATTTGTGGATATAAGATGGGGCCTAAAGCAGGGGGTCAACCATTGTAGTTGTTGCATGGGGCGCTCAAGCACGGACTTAATTTTAAAAATGTTCATCGTTGACAGAGAAACACTTTCATGTCTGCTTGTAAGCATTTTAGGAGACTGACTTTGATACAATGCACATCTTCGATAATGAAAGGTAAACAAAGGTCATTTTGTGAGTAAAAGCTCTGTATTTCAACAATTCTTCGGATGTAAAGCTTCACGTTTCAAAGAACATTTAATTTTTTGTATGATATTCATAATCATCTCCCTTGGAATTAGTCACATTATCATCAAACTTAAGGTGAAAAAAATATTCTAAATTCTATTTCTTGCATCTAATATTAATATCATAAAATGTACAGCCCATATTCTTAACAATAATTTTTACATATATATCATCATTACAAAGTTGTACATCTTGGTTGATTCTTTGATAAATATTAAAATCTTCCAAATAGAAGCAAACAATATTTTAAGAACAACTATAGCATGTAGCACATGTTATAAATATTAAAACTACTATTGTCTTTAGAGAGATGCTTACATTCTATACATGGTAGAGTTAGGTTTTATTGAAGACTTTGTTTTTGGATTTAAAGTTTTACATGAAGTGAGATACCAGATTCTTCAACTCGTATTCAATTTCACAACTATCTTCAGAAAACTGCATATTCCTGAGCTGGTTGTGTTCAAGGTCGTTTCTACCAGTTAACCTTGATATTTTTCCTGAGACGCTGTTGGCGCGAGAAGAAGGCACGACGTTGAGGGTCGACGCGTCTGTCAGAAACGTCCTATAATAACCTCATTGATCTCTTTCGGTCTGACATAGAGGAGACTGTTGTCTTTCTAATCCACCTCGCATTACAGCTCCGCGGAGCTCATTAGTGTACCCTTCTGCGTAATGCAGCCTGGGTACAAAAATCTCCGTAAGGTCCTTGATGGCGGGATTCGAAGTGAAGGTCAGATCAAAATGGCGGGTATCGAGGTTGAAGGTCATTGCCGTGGGAACCCCTGCCACGGCGCGTGCGTACGGTCGGGCGAAGAGGCTGGCGCGTTCCGAGATGGCGCGCCCGGTGGTATCCCATAACACACTGCTTCCCGGAGACGCATCCCGATAGGTCCAAGACTGCAGCAAACTCGGCAGGGCAACACAGTAGAAACAGACATTTATCAACCTTTTCCAAACATGTACCCATGACAGTCAGTCAGTAGCCTCCATCCTAAAACACACAATTCAACAGCTGAAGAATGAACTGCCAAACCTCACCTCTGAAGTGACACGAAGTCGAATGAAATGTTTGCCTGTTAATGACATTTTTGGATGGTGCATTGTTTAAAGAAATGGTCTATATTTAGCGCAAACATTATGTGTGATTAAAAATACTATCAAGGTTGTAAAACATAAAAGAAAACGATATACTTTGGTTACATATCTTCAAACGTAACACAGGTATTCCAAACTTTGAATTTTTGATGTTAACCATGGAATGAAGACCCCAAGACCACGGAGAAAAAAAGAAACGGATCCCCAACATGAAGAATGTCACGATGCCCACCACACGACCGGCGAAAGAGATAAGGAAAAGCCTGGAAGTCATGATAAAAAATAAGGACATTTCGATAGGCGTTAGTATCGTGCCAAGAGTTTGACTTTGATGGTGTTCGACCCAAGAAGTGGCACCACCGAAGTGAGGACATTCACTGTTGGTGGCAGACAGCACCCACTGGAAGACAACAGAAAGAGGAGTCTCGACGATCAGAAAAAGTCCATGAGATTCAGAGAGGACCACGTGTATGAAGAAATGGATCCAGATGATGTTATGGAGAGATTGAAAACCCTTGGAAAGTATGAAGCGGAACAGGACATCACAGAAATGAGAAGCAAACTCAAGGGACTTGAACGGACCTGCCGAATGACAGTACGGGAGGACAGTAGTGAGGTTAGTAACCATGGACACATGCTGTACATGACAAATACAACATACGATCCAGCTGTTCACTTGACAGATGAAGAGTACCTTGTAATGTATGGAGAAAACACCAGTGTACAAGCTCATGTAGAGAAACCTAAACTCGGAATAGAAGTGACTACAGTAGTTGCATCACTAATGGTACCGTTGTTCCTTGCCAATTATCGGTTTCACCCTAAGCTTTGTCTCGACCTTGCTAATTCAACAGTGAATCCCCAAAAAATGGTGGTCTGTATCCAAAGAAATTTCCCTTGGTAAAGCGGACCGCGTGTTGCCCTCTCTACTTGAAAATGAAAATGTCATGTCAGACGACAAGACTAAGGCCGATGTTCTCAACACTTACTAGTTCTTTGCGTCTCAAACAGAGTCGAAAAGAAACAATATTTCATTTACAGCATTGCATTATTACCTGTGGATAAAAAAATATAAGTGCTTAATCCTATTTTATCATTTCTTGTCAGATCTGTCAGAGAACCAGGAACTGTGTGGTTTCTGCACCAACCACGAATACACTTACCAACACCATCACCCATACCACGGCCGTATCCTGACTACGACACCATCACCCATACCACGGCCGTATCCTGACTACGACCGACTACCAACATTCCACTACCTGCCGTACAACAAGACACCGATTGAGGGACGCCTTCCCGATGATTTTCAACCACGAGCCCAGCTGAAGTCTGCTGTCAATAACAAGACAGTAACTATTGATGATGTTCAGTCTATCTATGAGTTTTCACAGAAATATATTGTATCAGTAGAACATGTCAAGGAATACATAGAGCACATTAGGCTCATTCAAACAATGAAGGTCAGGAGAACTGCTTTGGCAGAGGATAAGCGCAAAGAGTGCGAAGAGAAAAAGTATGACGAGTATGATTGGGAGACTTTGTACAAAGAAGGGTTGTTGGGATCTCTCCGTGTAGCTGAGCTAGAAAAATACTTGTCAAGACACGATCTTCTCTTACAAGGGAAAAACGCAACAGAAGTTGACCTGGTCCGTGCCCACATTGGTAAAACTGTGTGTTCCAGGTTTTTGGTGAGTGATGACTTGTCAGATGAAAGTGAGGATGAAGATGTGTCTTCTTCAGATAGTGAGATGTCAGATGAAGATGAAGTTACGATAGAAGTAGGGATAAACATCAGTAGTGACAGTGATACTAGTGCAGATGGGGGACAAGATGAGGTGTGAGCAGGAACAGGTGAAAATGTGACTATATCCCGCTTTAGGAGGAGGAGGTAGGAAAAAGCTGTGAACCCAGATAACATTCTGTGGTGACAGGAAAGTTTTTAGCTAGTACGATTTATTGACAGGACCGTCCAAAAGTGGTGGTGTTGAGGGTGGTGGGTGGCAGTGCGTTACTTCTAGGAGCAGGGTGCTTTAGTTTTTAACTAGATAAGCATTTGAAGTATTTAAAACTGCTGGTTTTAAAGCAATATTACAACAACATAAGATGTTTTATATAAACAACACTTGTACAAATAAAACTGTTTGATTAACAATTTTCAAGTTGGTAATCTTTTCTGCTTGTTAAATTCCAATGGGCTCAATGGATTAACAATTACTTGGTAGTACATTAGAAACGTCTTACTTGGTCCTATCCTTCGAACACTCTTCGAGCATGTCAATAAATGCTCTCCCAAAGACGCTGAACGCAATGCTATTCAGCAACTTCAGACTATCTGCACCTGTTTTTGGTAACATGAATGAGGGG